CTGCTTTATTCTCTTCCCGAAGGTTTTTCCCACAGCCACAGTCAAGCCGCAGCTTAATTCAACTCTCTATTTACAGCTCGTCACCGACTGCATTTTGTATCAGTCATTTAGACTAGGTAAGTCTCAGACGGAATAAACTTTTACACCTTCAAGACTCCTTTCATGAGTTCTTGATTAGAATGTGCTGTTAAGATGATATTCATATAATCAGTCTTAAATTCTTTCTTTTAATATTTCAACTGGTTGGTGTCTGTTCTTTCTTTAAAAAACAGGCAATTACATTTGCTGAACACAGTCCCCTGACGACATGCATTTGATCTTTCTGCAGGCAATCTTTTCAGAAAAAAACCCTATTGTTAAATCACTAAAAGAAGTACTTTGAAAACAAAGTGCATATAATTATTTTATAAAGCACAACAAAGTTACAGCCAAAGCTTGAATATTTAGCACCCTCCACACGCAAATACATCAAATAACATCTGTACCATAAGTGTATGCCACAGTCCGGGGTTAGGTCACATAACAGCGATTGATTGGGATCCAAATCCAAAGTATGGATCACACCATCTATTTGTCACTTTGACTAAAGAAAAGGTTCCACATACACTCAATGGACTGTCACAAGACTCTTCGTCTTCTTAAAAAACAGCAGGCAAGACCCTGCCACTACCAAAGAAAAGAGCAAAACTCCTGTTAACACTTCCATCACTCACACTCTTTTTTAAAAATTTAAATTGAAGCAATTATCAGTCTTGCTGATGTTTCAGCCAGAAAACTGGCGTAACCAAAGCAGCTAAAGAAGTTTTCCTTTCTATTTTAAACTCTGACAATTTACACTGGCATCTGCATAAAATACCTCATTTTTGTGAGTACACGGGTACTATTATAAGAAATTGGAAGAACTGTTTGTCTAGAAGGAAAGTTGATCTTGTGGATATGATTTTGCATGACTGGAGCTTTATAGTGCAGGTTTTTCAAAAAACTTTTGAGTTTTGAAAATGTCAGTCTCTAAGTGCCAGACTCTAGAAACAGAAAATCATAAATTTGCTTGCATTACACCAGGTACCATTCCCCCCAAAAAGAAGAGCCCGTGGCATTCTCTGACCTGCACACACCAGCAAATTCAGATGTGCATGGAGGGATTTTTTCAGAAAATATTTGGCAGAAGAGGGAAAAGAAGACAACAAATGAAAAAAAAAAAAGTGACAACTTAAAACACAGCTAAGAACTAGAAGATGTAGCTATTAGTGAGGCAAAATCCCCGTTCAAATGCAAGATCAGAGCCATCCATCACATCCAGCCTGGCACACATTAAGCAAACAAGCAAGGGCAGGTGCTTGCTCTTTGTATGGAGCTGTGTTGATACCAATCACCATCCCTTGCCCAAACAGTACGATAGTGATATGAAAACATTACTAAGTCATCCTGCTCAAAGCTGAAGGGTTGAAAAACACCCTCACTCTTGAATCTTGTCAAAATACTTCTGAAGAAGGATTCATTAATTTTTTCCAGAGAAAAACACATGAGAAATGTATACCCAAGCCAATGCAGAGTGTAGTCCAGAGACAAGTAAGGAGGGCTAAGTACCTCCTCATACGCAAGTGAAGTGGCACAGCTCCAGTACGAGAGAATGGGAGGAAACCATCCTAAGCAGTCTACACCTTAGCCGGCTCCACATATTTGCTCCTTGATATTCACACCCCAGTACCTATCCCCCCCTTAGGTAAGCACCCTAATGGGAAGGGAGAGGGGCTAAGGAATCAGCTCTCTGTGCTCATGCGGAGCAGGAAAAGTGATGTAGAACTCAAAACGAATGTTGGGCAGGACATGCGAAGGGGATGCTGCAAAGACATTTCATGCCTTATTTTATTCCAAGCCTTTTCACCTGCACCAAAGCCTCAATTTTCGCATTCTGAATTTACCTAGAAAAACACATCTGGCTACAGCTCCGTCTTTTAGAACTTCAGCTTCTTCTTCACCGTCTTTTCTTAATCCACATACATTTCTCAAGAAGAGCTCGGGGGGAGGGAGGGGAAGCGGGGCCAAGTCTGCAGGAAATCCACTTCACGCTTTTGACCTGATGCCAGCAGCCTGGGGTAACCCTCGGCCTGAGAGGGAGCCCTCCCGGCAGCCCCGCCTCCCACGACCCACCCAGGGCCAGCTGAGCGAGCGATAGGGCACCGCGGAGCAGCTCGGAAACCAAGTCTCTCTCCTCTAAATGAGCGACTCCAGAACACGGTTGGTGGGAGGATTTTTTTTCCAACTTTTTTTTTTTTTTTTTTTTTAAAGCCAGGTAAAGAACACACAAGTGGTAAGCAAGATGAAATTGAAGCCCTAACTTCTAATCCCGAGTAGAAACCTCAGCTTTTACAAGGCAAACAGGTTTAGCAGGCTATACCTCTGGAGATACATCCACAAGCTGTTCCAGCCTGCCTCTCCCAGAACAGGTTGTTCTAAGGCATGGATCAGCCGACCGAAACAGGTGAGGCTGTCTTCTCAGCCCAAGCGCGTTTTTATACAAAGTAAGTCAGTAAAGCAAGAAGCACTGCGTTTATTTCTAAAAGCATGTTCTTTAAATGTAGAGTTGAATAGCGATTCTGAAGGTAAGACGGAACAAAACGACTGCCTGCTGGGCACAAGGGCAGGAAAGAACAGTAGCGAACAGTGAGCTGTTAAGGTACAAAACGGGTATGAAGCAGAAGTTTACCCAAGAGGAGTTAAGGGATAGTGATTTGTACCGCATGGAGTGTAAGGAAGGAAAACCCTGCTGCAGTCTTGGCACCTGTAGCATTTGTGCTGCAACTGCACCTCTTAAAAGCATCATTTCAGCAGTTTAATGAAGCTTTAGCACTAAGAAGTCAATCACTCACTTCCTAATTTTCCGCATTACCACTGGTCTCTCCCATCGGTCTGTGATTGGAGTAATAGTCAATAGACCCAACAGTACTGAAAAATGTCAATACAGACAGACAAGCTACAAGTGCTTTTTCTGCTTTGTCTAATCTTTTTTTCCATTGTACAAGAACACCTTCAGTTTCTCCCAGGGAAAACAACTGGCTGTTAAAGACAGTTTGGACCAATTTATGCATCCTGTTAGCCAACGTTACATTCAAGTGAATTACTGTAACCCTTGCTCTCCATTCCTTCCTTAAAAAAAGGGGGGAGACGCCACTTCACGTGTTGCATCTTGCAAACTATTCAGGGACAGAACCAGGTCTCATGCAACTGCGTATTATCCCACGCAGCTGAGCTCTCATCTTGATAAGGATCCTCCAGATGATAGAGACCCAGGTTTTCAAATATAAATACCTGACTCTGATAGGGCACACAGATAATTACATCATTTCGCATAGAAGCCTCCACATTATGCACTGAAGTTTGGGCACACGAGAAAATTGTAGTCAGCTTATAATACCACTTACACAGGGTTTAGTCTTCACACAGAAATAGGTATTTTCATGTTTGGGGGCCGGTGGGCAGGCAGCGGCCGGCAGTCCCGGGGGTCCGGCCGGGAACGCGCCTGGGGCGTGGGCACGCTTGGAGAGCCGCTTCCAGGCACGAGAGGGATTTTTTAATCAAAAAAAGCAAGAGGGGCTTTTTTATGTTTGGAAATACTGGAATCCTAACTCTTCCCGGCTTTTCTGGGAGAATTTTTGGGGGCTTTCCAGACATGACTTAGGAGTTTTGGGGAGTTTACTGAAAGGATGCGTTATTCCCAGTAATACACGCTCCTTTTCTTTTGACGTGCTGGCCAGGCACGAGAGGGATTTTTTAATCAAAAAAAGCAAGAGGGGCTTTTTTATGTTTGGAAATACTGGAATCCTAACTCTTCCCGGCTTTTCTGGGAGAATTTTTGGGGGCTTTCCAGACATGACTTAGGAGTTTTGGGGAGTTTACTGAAAGGATGCGTTATTCCCAGTAATACACGCTCCTTTTCTTTTGACGTGCTGGCCGTACGGAGAACTATTGATTCCGCTTGTCTTGAACTTAGCTAACTTTAAGAAAAATCCTTTCAATTCTCAACCCAAAGCTCCTGAAACTTTGTATGGCATTCATCTAATGGGTTCCAGGGAATTTTAGGAATGGCTGAACAGGTTTCATTGCGATTTGGCGATGGGTCAGGGGACTTCATGAGTGTGCAACATCTCTTGCAGAAGTATCTGCTCTGATTCTGTAATTTCCTCATTTAAAAAAGATTCACAGTCTGTACAGTACAGAGAAAACAACAATGAAAGAAGTGACTTGGCAGCTTTCATCTATAATCTCCACTTGTTGCTGGACCAACCAAGTGTTAAGTGATGGAATCTGTTAGATTGATTTTCATTTGAAAGATCATGTCTTCTGAAGCATATCCAAGTTGCTTCACTGTGAGCTGGAAAAAAGCATTGCAGGTTGGGGTTTCTTTTTGCACTGGAATCAAGAGGTGCAATGATATATTGGAAAAATGTTGTCCCGTAATTCAGTTCTTGCATTTTCTTGTAAACTTCTTTTAAAATATTACATCTCAATCCTACAAATGGATAATTCCCTTGGCATAGATATAGTTAGCGTAGAGATTTACAGAGGTAAAGCTCTGTGGAGTTCAGCTGTCCGCTTGGAGCTTGAAGATCATCATAGATTTGCCTTACCTAGTTTTGATATTTACTACACGTAGGATCCATTTGGGATCCATTTGGCTCTTCAGGGTATATCTTTTGAGGTATTAATAGATCGCTGTTGATGACTATATGAAAAGGTTAAAAAACCTGGTTTTCAAGCCATCAAATTTCCCGGTAAAATTCGGTAGGCAGCTTGCCACAAGGAGAATTTTGGAGTTCAGCTTGTACAGGTAAAAATTTTCCCGTCCTGTTTCTAGGACAGAGGTGTACATAGCAGCACGTTCACAAGGAATCCATCAGGAAAAAAAAGACTATGGTAGTCAGGAAAAGCGGTAAGCATTCCGCTTTGAAGCAGCAGCGTGTGGTGGGAGTCAGCTGGGGTGGGCTGCGAGGGGACTCTCTGTCCCTGAATGACAGGGGAGCGCATGGTGGGACGGTGGTTCCTGCATCACGGAGGTGAGGTGGCTCAGTAAAGATCATGGTCAAGCTTCATTGCTTTCTTCTCAGTTAGTCAAGATTTCTCTCTGAGGCTGGGATTTACTAGTGACGCCCAAGTCCAGAGACGCCCATGTCTGAGTGCTGGACTGGCTGTACCCAATTCCTAGCTCTGTGTTTTTTCCAAAGCCTTCTATTTAAGCATCATCCTAGCCAGTTTAGCTGTAGGCCAGAGTCCAATGATGAGCTTCCTAATCCCGATACCATCCTGTACACCTGTCTCACTCATTCCCAGCATCAGGCTTGTCACCTGCAGCCTCCAGTTACCCTGCCAGTCCCTGCAGGCTCTTTTGATATTTTGGTCTTTTCTCTCTGCCCATCCTCACAAGAACTCATATTTTCCTGGATGTCATGCATAGACCAGGGGTCTAAGCAAAGCCAGATGGGAGAAACAAAGTGAGGTGCAGTGAGATTTGGTCCAAAAGATTGCAAAAATTTTGCAGGGAAGGGTGTGTTGCCACCTTATCTCATGCTGCAGCCTCTAGTATGGGTTTGTATATCTGGTCAGCTTGAAAATGTCACACTTTTGACATTGATGTGTTCACGGGCATTTGTAGAATATATCATGTGAAAAATGGACAATTAGGACAAAATTCAGCTGCAGATTAAGACACTTGGATTTCTACACCTGTCTGACTAAGACACTTGCTTGTCTACGCATGTACTAGGTGGTTATGGCCCAATTATGATCAATGGAGAAACCTGGCCAATGCTTGCAGGGAAGCCTGGAGATGAGTTCAGCCCAAGTAGACACGAAGTGGCTTAGCCATGCTGGCTAAATCTGAGGGAGTTCAGACACCCAAGTAGGGTCTTAATCTGGAGCTGAATCATTCCCTCAAGGTACAAGTCATTTAGTTGTACGAAGATCCCTCTTAAACTGTGTAAACAGGTTACAGAATGTATTTGTCAATACAGCATACATGCTATGACATTGAATATGTACTTAACTGCTCTTGTTGTAATCCAGCCTTTTTTAGATCTATCTTTCGGGTTCTGCCACTGCTTCTTGTTCTGTCTCCAGTGAATTCATCTAGTTGTGCAATGGGAAATAAAACAACTGAAATCCGTGTGAAGTACGAGAATATACTAAGCCACGACATCAATGAGCTGGTAGGTAATAGCTCTTGGGCTTTCAAAAAAAATGTTGATTATTTTTAGATGATAGCAAATAATAATTAAAAAAAGCTCTAATGTTAGCGTATGATAAAAGACCTATTTAAAATCACACGTTATCCTGGAACAGTGGCTTTATTTGAGGGGGTGCGACAATTCAGTCTCTTTAAAATCTCTGAAAGCTGTGGATGTTGCCCATTTGCATGTGCAAATACTATGATACAACTATTTGTGCCTGTGCACCATGTAGTTAGACACATGTACTATTTGGCCCTAAATAGTATAACCTGTTACATTAGAAAGTATTCTTTTCTGAAGTAATTTCATGACTACTTCTGTTTATATCTTCTTATCAAGAGAAGAAAACATTACACAACCTGTGATTTGTTCTAGTAATTGTAGACTTCTTGACTGAATTTTTATGTTGTCTGTTGAATACAAATGCACAGAGGCACAGAATTCATACAATAAAAGTTTCTTTGTATTTTACCTATTAACATATCTTGTTTATCCAACAAAGAATCAACTTTTCTAGATGACAGCAGAGAAAAACTTCACTTTCTTAGTTGTAAATCTCCTCCATTATGGCTTTATCAGCCAGATTTATTACAACTTGCAAGACAGTATCATAACAGTTTACCGATCCATGCCCAAAACCTACCTTCCAACTTTTCATTGTGAATTATTACCAGTTAAAATTCACCTGTCAAGAACACACTCATGGGAGAAAGCACTTTCCATAGTTGGATTAGCAGAGGCATTTCTACGAAAATGGGATTTTTCTGACAGTTTGTCACTAAATGAGAACTCACCATTCTGTTGCAGTCTTAAATCAAAGTCTATTTGCATGAAATACAAGTGATATACAGTGCTTTTCCAAAGGTGAAATCAGGAGCCATTGTATTTCTTCACACTTACGACCCACCACCATCCTTCAGAGAATTATGCCAGGCCTTCCCAGCCTTTCTCTACCAAGATACATCAGCTCTCATCTGGAATCAAAATACCTTTAGGGTCAGGGAACGATCATTTAATCTTCAAAAACATTCTGATCACATTGTGTTTGTTGAGATTATGAAGAGAGAAAGGTACTTCTCCGTAGAGAAATGACTTTATCCTGAATAAGGCACCCAAGTGGGGGAAAATATTCATGGCCATATTAGAACAGAGAAGTAGCCCCTTTAGTTTGCCATCTTATTTGTGACAAAGACAAGTGTTTCCCACAGAATAGAAGTAAACCCTCTTGGTGAGCAGTTACAAGATAGCTGACCTGTCAGAGAAAAAGAGTATGACGGGAATAACAGCCTCGGGAGGCAGATCCTGCTGTCTCCCTGTGGTGGAGAGCCTTGAGGCCCAGCTCTGCTGGAGCTGCAGGGACAGGGAAGCTGGGGGGCGTCCCGGGCTGGAGGTGGCGATGCCTTGCCACTGCCCAATTGCGGGATGAAGCCTGATGCACTCAGCGCCCCGGGGTGCTATCAAGGATTTGAATGGAGCAATGCCATTCTTCCAGATACGTCTTGAAAGTCTGTATCTTTTCTTATTGTAATCAACATTACAGAGTTTTTTAGGAGATAGATAGAGGTTTTCAGGAGACGGTATGAGAACTAAAACTGTTATCCAAATAAATAAAACATTAATTAATTAATGTTTGTGAAAGGTAATGGGAATGTACTGAGCTCTGAAGCTTTTACTTCCTAGAACAGGCATGCACAAGCAGCTACTGTGCATGTTTCTTCATTTTCCCGTCTCTATTTTTCCCAGTTTAAAAGAGATTAATTTGTCTTCTATGTAAAATCAGTGTACAGTCTTGTCACTATAACTTGACAGCAAATCTTAGGGACAGTGCTGTTTGGGTGGTAGCAACTGCCCCAGTAGGCATTTTCCTGAGTTGCAGAGCCAAAGTCAGTAACTTCCAGTCCCTCAGCCTGATAGTTGGAGGCAGTTATGGAGATGACTGCTGGGTTATATACTAGACCTCCAAAAGTTAATTTGTTTTTCAGTAATGCTTTTTCTGAGGCCAGGATTTCCCTTAGTCACAGCCAATATCTGCCTTCAGAAATGGTTACTGTACATTATACTGAAGGTGATCTGAGGAAGTCCATGAGAATGGGTAAATCCCTGAGCAGTTAGCAAATGAAGCCACAGATATATAGGGTTTAGGGTGATTATTTATTTATTTATAAATCTTGGTGCTGTGTGACTGCAGCAAAACTACATTCTGTGTTCAGGGTTTCGTTTCTTTTGACAGTGAATATTTGACTCCCTGAGCTCTTGGTTTTGAAAACGCTTCCTGGATGAAGTTCTATTGATCTTGAATGAACTTTTGAAATACAGGCAATGTTACACAAAAACCTGCAGAAAAGCTTTAAGAATTAAGTCATCATCTAGTGTGTTTATATTCATGCCTAAGTGAGGAGAACTGTTGTGGTTTAACCCCAGCTGTCAACTCAGCCCCACGCAGCCGCTCGCTCACTCCCCCCACAGTGGGGCGGGGGAGAGAATCAGGAGAGTAAAAGTGAGAAAACTTGTGGGTTGAGATAAAGACAAGTTAATAGGGAAAGCAAAAGCTGTGCGTACAAGCAAAGTGACGCAAGGAATTAATTCCCTCCTCCCCATGGGCAGGCAGGTGCTCAGCCATCTCCTGGAAAGCAGGGCTCCATCACACATAACGGTTACTTGGGAAGACAAACGCCATCACTCTGAACGTCCCCCCTTTTCTTCTTCTTCCACCAGCTTATATGCTGAGCATGCTGTCATATGGTCTGGAATAGCCCTTCGGTCAGTTGGGGTCAGCTGTCTTGGCTGTGCCCCCTCCCAGCTTCTTGTGCACCTGGCAGGGCAGGGGAAGCTGAGAAGTCCTTGACTTAGTGTAAGCGCTACCTAGCAACAACTAAACCATCAGTGTGTTGTCAACATTCTTCTCATCCTAAATGCAAAACACAGCACTATGCCAGCTACTAAGAAGAAAATAACTCTGTCTCAGCCAAAACCAGGACAAGATCTAACACAGTATTGTCACGAGCTGTCTTTTTTAAAGCCCTCCTGGTTGTATTAGCTTATCTGGATACAGGCTGAAGAAGAAAGCGAAGGAATTTTCTTGAGTTGGGTTCAGTTGTCGTCTTGATGACAAAAGTGAAAGTAGAAGAAAAAAACCCCAGAGAATAAACCACTGATAAAAGATTATGGTCATGCAAAGGGAGCAAGTGATATTGCTTGGGGCATCTCCTGTTAATGCATATGCAAAGTGAGTGCTACAATCTCTTTAGATGCCTGGGGCAGGTATTTATGGAGACAAACATTGTATCCAATACCTGTGTAAGATGGATATATTCCTGTATGTCTTAAAATGCCAAAGAACCAAGTAATTCAATAGAATATGAAGGTTTAAAATGAATAATTTGTGTCCAGTTCTGGGCTCCCCAGTACAAGAGAAATTCAGAGCTACTGGAGAGAGTCCAGCATAAGGCCATGAAGATGATGAAGGGACTGGAGCATGAGGACTGGGGAGCAAGGGACTGAAGATGAGGAAAGGCTGAGAGAGCTGGGACTGTTCAGCCTGGAGAAGAGAAGTCTCAGGGAGGATCTCATCAATGGGTAGAAATACCTGAAGGGAGGGGGCAAAGAGGACAGAGCCAGGCTCTTTCCAGTGGTGCCCAGTGACAGGACCAGAGGCAATGGGCACACACTGAAACACAGGGGGCTCCCTCTGAACATCAGGAAACACTTTTTCACTGTGAGTGTGACCGAGCACTGGCACAGGTTGTCCAGGGAGGTTGTGGAGTCTCCATCCTTGGAGATATTCAAAAGCCATCTGGACATGGGCCTGGGCAACCGGCTTTAGGCGGCCCTGCTTGAGCAGAGGGGTTGGACCAGATGACCTCCAGAGGTCCCTTCCCACCTCAACCATTCTGTGATTCTAAGTAATTCTGTGAATACCTTTAGAAATTCTAGCTGGATTTGGCTTTTCTTTACCCACTTGCCAAGGAAAAGCTCAGAACCTTACACTGACCCTGCTACACCTGAGGAGATGCTACAGAACAATTTAGTGTTGACATCGCCAGCTGTTAGTGAGAAGCTTGACTCACTTGATTCACTTGATTAAAAGTGCTTCCATGTTTAAACATATATGATATTTTACAGGTAAATATGTCTGCAGACTATCGTGACAGGTGCTGCAAGAATAAAAAACAGGAAAATAGCAAAATGTTTTTCTGCAACGATACTCAGGTAAAATTGAACTTCTCAGAATTTACTTTAGAGAATACAAACTCAAATGGGTTCTTTGCACAGTCCAGTCCCTGAATAACATATTGTGATAGAGAGAGTAATATTACCTTTTAATAGTCAAATCATGATATTCAGCGTTGTTCCTTTTTTGAATTTGGAATCACACTATTTGTCAAGTGAATTGATATTTTAAAAATTAAAATATTAAGCAATTCCATGTCCAAGAAATGCTTTTTTTCCCCTGCTATAAAGTTTCTTTTATATTTTTGATCCAAAATAGTACAGAAAACTTATTTTATTTTACCAGTGGAACAAAACGTAAAAATTTCCCAACATCTGTTTTCGTTTTTCTACAGAAAATTGTATTAGCTAAGCTTTTAATCTCAGGTCTGGAAGCTTTAAAAGTAATAGTTTGGGCAGATCTGAAAAGACAGAAAACACAACTGTCAGCTGTTGCTGCAAATTTTATCAAGACTTCATAAAAGGCCTGACTTGAAAAATCATTCACTGTTTTCCTAACTGCATCAGCTGATTTCATTACGGCTATGATTTCTCCCTAACATCCCTAACGCTATTATTATTACCATTACAAATTGATACTTTAAATATTTTGAAGACATGGCAGGTAGGTCAGATTTGTCTTGTGTTTTATTGGAAAAGACTGGCGCTATGAAAGCAAAAGAAACTAATGTTAACTGACGGTGATTTTTTTTAAAGACAAACCAACATTATAAAGAATTAATGGTGCACAGACTTTTCAGGACATATTTTTCTTGCTCTCATGACAGGAAATAGAGTCACTACAGAGTATGGCATGCAACATGCTCAGATTCTTTAACAAGCAAAAAGTCAACAAAGACTTCAGATGGAAAGCAGCATTAGTCTCGTGTGGGACATTACAGGTTCTACAGTGCAAATGTGAAAGACACAAAAAAGAAAAGGTGAGTGGTAGTGATGGTCTACAGTTTACTGGAAGTATGTGACTTACTCCTCAGAGCTCTTCAACACAGACTATCATATCTACTGTGTCCAGTTCTGGGGTCCCTGGTTCAAGAAAGATGAGGAACTCCTAGAGAGAGTTCAGAGGAGAGCAACAAGGATGATAAGGGGACTGGGGCATCTCCCCTATGAGGAAAGGCTGAGAGAGTCGGGCTTGTTCAGCCTGAAGAAGAGAAGACTGAGAGGGGATCTCATCAACACATACAAATATCTTAAGGGTGGATGTCATGAGGATGGAGTCAGACTCTTCTCAGTGGTGCCCAGTGACAGGACAAGGGGCAATGGGCACAAACTGAAAAACATAAGAGGTTTCAGTTGAATATGAGGAAAAACTTCTTTACTTTGAGGGTGACAGAGCACTGGAACAGGCTGCCCAGGGGGGTTGTAGAGTCTCCTCTCTGGAGATATTCAAAGCCCGCCTGGACGAAGTCCTGTGCAACATGCTCTAGGTGAACCTGCTTTAGCAGGAGGGTTGGACTGGATGATCTTCCAACCCTTGCCATTCTGTGATTCTATGATTCTGTGATTCTACCTCTCCAAGGTACAATTATCATGCACATTTTACAAGCATGACAAATTTTGCTCTGTATAGCCTATGTCTTGTAATAGACATTAAGCTCAGTGCAAAGGCTAAGTAAGAATGATCTGGAAGTCTACAGTGAACATATATACTCTGGTTCAGTACTGAAATACCCCAGTTAGTTCTCCAGTAAAAGACAAAGACCTCACTGGTGTGAAGAAGGCCTTTAACTTCTCTAGAGTGCATAAAATCATAGTCATTACTTCTCATTGGGGTTCTACCCTAAGATTAATGTTTAATTTGTTTTAACAAGCAATTAGCGAGAGTTTCTCTCCTTTCCATAATCCCTTTGATTTTTAACCACAATATCTCAAACTCAGCAAGAAGAGTTAGATATGAAAATACTTGGATTTTTAGTCATTGGCAGAATCTGCTCTTTGATGTGTCACTCAAATCTAGCGCAATGATCTACAGACTAGA